ACGCGGCGTAACTCATGGGTGTCGATACGGCAAGCCATAATCAAAACAACCCCATTTCCCCAAATACACTCCTCTGAAACTAACCTACCTTGAAACCAACAGTTCCAAGTTGAACCACCAAATAGAAAAATGGTGTGAAATATTTGAAATTTTTGACAAAGAAATGTATTTTTTTTTTTTTATTGAATTCCTTTGAAACTAATCTATGCTTCAATTTGCAACAACGTTGAAATCCAAAGAAATATTTCTAACCTTTAAATATATGAAGAGTCAAGATTTGATAGTTCCAATCACAATAGTAGTCTAACTATTTTAGTGATGAAGGGAAGAATTTATATCTTCATAAATATTGAGACAAGTAGTAGAATCAGGTGCATCAAAGTTACTACAAAGATGCGACTAAAGAAATAGAGATTCATGCGTGGTAAAACTCATCATAAATGCACAGAAATATTCAGTCTCTTTACAAGTGTATCTGTCTATCCATTAGAACAGAGCTTCTCAAACTTTTCCATCTGGCGACTCTCTTTGCGTGAGCAAATATTTTCGTGTACAGAGGTATATAAACTAAAAACACGAGTTAAAACATTTGCTGATAACAAATCATAAAGAAAATTTATTCAAGATCAATTCAGTATAATTTTACTGCGCATTGAAGACAAAGCCAGACATTCGTACTGATTTTTTAGTTTCGCTAAAATTTCTGCGACCCACAAATTTAGTTGTACGCGAGCCGATACTTTGAAGAGTCCTGAAGAAACGCATATCCCTCGTAACCTAAGCGCGAAATATTATTTCGACGTTCACGGCGTCCCATATAGTAATAAAGGGATGAGCTAGCATCCGAGCTGCAACAACACGGCTGATTACTTAACAACGTCAACGAAAACAGCGTGGTTGCGCGGGCGCTATGCGCTCTCATCTGCATAAAGACCAGCTGCGCGGCGGCGTGGCATTCGCGAGGCCGAACGACAGCCGGGCCGTGTAATAATATCGTCAGTTTCGCGGCGGTTTATTGCACCGCGTCGTGTAGCCGTTTCCAGCCTGAGAGACTTAATATCGTCGGCCGTAAGCCACGGCCGCAATATCATCGGGCCGACTCGTTTCCTAGCCGCGTTCGTAGTCCCCGCGCTACGCGAAATTCCGCTGGCGCAGCGAGGATCGCGCGCACAGCGTGCATGCATGCCTGCCTGCCCGGAGATATTTGTTCGCTGGCGAACGCACGACCCAGGAATTCGTGCCCGCGGACCGTCGTCGCCTGATCGATACGCAAACGCGGAACAACCACCGACCGACGCCTCGTTGTTATCCGAAACGAGAGAGACCCAACTCGGCCAGGGAGATTGCCAGCTGTCGATGCGCGGTTCGTTCGTTTCCCAACGACACGGAAACTAGAGTTCTTTTCTTTTCTTTTTTCTTTTTTTTTTTCTGACATTCGCAGTTGTAAGGGAGTTTTGAGCGATTTATTTAGGAGTGATTGAATTCCGAGTGACACTTCGTTTGGAGTTTGTTGATGAATTTACTGATTGTGAGAGAGCCTTCTAGTAAGCCTGTGTTAGAAGCAAAGATACTGGAGGGCAGGTCAAGGTGAAATTCGTACGAGAGGGATGATTATGCGTGGACTTTCGGGAATTAAGTTCGATGTTGTTTCTCTGGTGAAAAGAATAAAAGGGATGTTGTAATTACGAGGTAATAATTGAAGAAAGGGAGAGATTGTCGAATTGATAGAAATTTAAAGTGTGTGAAGAAAGAAAATTAAAGAAGAGACAGTTACCGAGTAAACGTAATTTTCTGTCGATCTATAAATTCGTTGAAAAAAGACATTTGCTAAACAAACGTAATGTAAAATCAAAAAAGAAATTTCATCGAAGAGGACGTTGCAAATATTTGCAATTAACATTTCGAGGAGATCGCATCACGGCAAGTTTCTATAAACAAGCCAATGCAAAATCCAATCTCCCATCAAATACAGCGCTTTAACGATCCTTCATTATCCGACAAACTTCTCGTTCCCAACCATTTCATCCAAGCTCGTAAAACTTTTCCAGTAGCCTGCAAACTGAATAAGCAGAAAAAAAAAGAAAGAAAATACTGAAATGAAAAACTGCTTTGGAAAATCGAACAGGCAATGCCAGCTCCTGATCGATTCTGGAAATCAACGAGCTTCAACCAATCGGCATAAAAAAAAAAACCCACGCCACGGTTCAATTGCAGGAAGCTTCGATATACTTCGCTCGTCAGTTTACCTATGGGAAGTAGCGAACACTCGTGAGAGCGCAGCTTAGTATTCGCAACTTTTAAAATGATAAAAACAGCAACTAGTTGAATGAATACAGTTGAATTCCTTCGATACGAGAAAAGTGTCAAACTTGCACTTTCCTTCTCTTAATATATTCTTAATTTTAATTAATGAAAAGTGAAATGACAGAATGACAGATTGATAATTTCTCAATGGAATTTTACAGATCTACAAATATGTATATGTCTTGGAGGATTTGAATAATTTTTCATAAAAAGATATTTCTTATTTTAATTACTTTGCTAAAAGTAGTACATTGTAGCCGTCGATAATTCTACTGATGAAGCAATATATCGGCAATACCCAAAGGATATAGAATTATTCGACTCAAGAAAAGCCCAAGATAACGATACCAATCACATTTTCTCAAATATACAGTACATCGATTGTTGCTCAACTGCACGAAGAAATTCACCTTTAATCTTACAAAACTCAAGCTCTTTCTACGAACCATGACAAAAAAAAAAAAAACACGTGTAGAAAAATCCAAATTCCTCGAGAAAAAAATACCATCTTGAGGTTTGGGAACTCGGTGAGGCTTAAACTCGATATTGCCAACGCCTCGACGGAGTTCCACTCGACGTATCAAAAGTAACGGTCGACAATTTCTTAGCGAAACGCTCGTAATTTCCTCTACTCCTGGTACCCTTTACAATTCCCGGGGCTTTGTGTGTTTTGACGGGGGTGTTAGCTGACCCGGTGGCTGGCGGAGGCGGCGCGGAAGAGGGATGCTGCTCAAGAGCAGAAGAGGGTGGCATTAGGTCGAGGTCACCAGGACGCCGAAGCGATCGATGCAGCCCGCCAGGCAGCACCACCCACGTTTCAACCCTCTCCGCTTTCTCCCTCCGCTGAGAAATCTCCTCTCTTCTCTTCACCGAATAACGCCAACCGTTATCTCCGATTCTCCGCCATCTTTCTCTCTTTCTCTCTTCTCGCTTTGCCCCGGCCATCGCGCAGGCTGGCTCATTGCGTCTCTATTTACGTCTGGTTGCATTTAAGCAAAGAGACCGTTTTCCCGGGAGAAAAACTCACGCCTGGTTCAACACGTGGATGCTCCACATTCGAGCTTCGATCAGCTGTTTCCCCGGGGCGTCGACGCTTCTAGACTCCGCCACGCTCCCGAAACAGACGACTAAAGGTCTTTCGGCGTGTATTAAGAACTTAGTTCGACGATACTGACGAACGAGCATATTGATTCAAATATTAATCCTCGTCCGTTTAATTTTTTCAGCGTTTCGAAACGCAACGATTTCAAAAGGCGACGAAGATTGCCGTTTAGATGGAAGAGAAAATAGACTTCTAGAGCTGGTGATAAAGAAACGTAATGAATTATAGAAACGGTAATTTTATAAACAACGTAGGTCGTCTAGATTCTTTCTTCGAAGGAGTGATAAAATTACGACTAAATTTTAAAACCAACCATACAACCGAGAGAAAATATTAAGTGAGTTTGCATTTGTTGAGAGATTAAAGGGGAGATTTCTAAAGGCAAGATCTCAGTAAGCAACGCGAATTATAGAGCTTTCAAAGAATCTATATCGGAAACAGCTTCCAGATACTGGATCTTCATACTCTAAACTTGCACGGACTGAAATTGACATCGATGTACATATGTGCCCGAAAAGTACGTCACGTTACGTTGAATAACATATACTACGACGATAACGTAGATATTGCTATTTACGTGTTGTGGACTGAATCAATACTGTTCATATTCGACGATACTCTTGCGAGAATAGAATCCGAATTATTCCAAGATACTCGTTCGTATAATATAAATTTCTACAAGTAGAACGAATTACCTTGAACAGACTAAATATAATCCAACGTAGAAAAAAAAAAATCTGTTTAAACGCTTCTTAAAATATTTCCAACTTTAGAAGCAAACGTACCAAATTGCCAGAAATCCTCTCAACTCTCGAGCTTTCAAAATAATATTTTCAAAAATTATTTCCTGCTTCAACGTGCTCGTACGTTCGTGAAACCGTGGATCGAGAGTAATCGGTAAGAGCAGCGACGCGCAGTAGCGGGCAAATAACTTTGCATGAAATCGGCGAGCAGAAGAAACGATTTAGCCAGTCTCCGTGACCGTGATATCAACGAGCTCGTAAAGCCAGAATTTACGAGGAAGAGAAGCACTTCGGTCTCAAACTCGTCGAATTTACAAGAAATAGCGAGACGAATCTGCCGCGATCTGTTACCGATCGAATTTTCCCTCGAAACAGACGAACGTCTGTTCTCGTCTGTCACGTGTTGTTTGGTTTCCAGGGCCTATTCTCCCCGATACTCGCGCCGATCTCTCCTCTCTTTTCGTTCCCCGTTCTCTTGTAAATGTCTAGGCCGTTTTCAACGTCGAACCGACCGTTTGCCCGTCGAGAATTGTCAACGATCTTGCACCGGGGATCAGGTTCACGTTCTGCGATGACACCGGTTCTCAGAGTAATTTCTGCGTGACTGAAACGCGACTCCATACCATGCGAACAGGCTTCGCGCGTTATGACGTGAGTACACGCTCGTACAATGTCGAATGGATCAGTTAATAGACGAACCGTGATACGTTTTATGAACGTAATTAGAAAAATGGAACTAGGCTTCACTTGTTAAATAATATTTATTATAAAAAGAACTTTTGCATATTTTCGTGTGTCACGTGCGTCTCGTGTATTTCTGCATTTTCGAATATTCCGTAAATATTATAAGCATGACGATAAGTTTCGACATTTTCGAAGGGAGAGAAATTTTCTCTTTACGTTTCCAGGAGGAATCTAGAAGTTCAACTACCAGCGAACGCGATTCTTGCTCGTTCTCGGAGCTCGACTTGTTAAATCCAAGGTATCGTTCAAAGTTTTGAAAGAGAAACGTTGATAAATGTCCAAGATGAACAGTCGAGCGATCGTTTGCAGACGTTCCTGTCAAAAATCACGACATCAGCACCGCGACATAAAAAGAACCGAGGACAGTTCGTCGAAATCATTCGGGGCGTCTAGAAGGAACTCTGATTGCTGTCGTTGCTTCGCAAGTTGTGATCGCGTCCAAACAAAATTACGTAAGTGATGTAAGTGAAACTGGAACTGATATATAATTCTTCAGACATTGCTTAACTCAGACATCACTCTATTCTGAATATGTTTCAGTGTCCGACAAAGTAGTTAAAAACCACAGTCGTGCGTCGAGTTTCCAGTATCGAAGGAAGCATGAGGTAATTTTGTTTCTAGTGGATTGCGGATTTTTATCTATTTGTAAGAAACTTAAAGGTGTAAAAGCATGTAAATTCGATGTGTTCAGTTTCTTAAATTCGCGAGGCTATCTCAATTTGCATAAACATCTGCAGTTTGATTTTTAACGAGCCACATTCTGAAATATCGAGAAATTAAGTATTCCGCAGAGAACGACACAGGTTGTTGGAAATAACTTTTCAGCGGCACGACGAAATTGCAATCGTACTTATAAATTTTCATTTATGTCACTCAACGTCGTATTTCCGTTTTTAAACCGACGGAAATACCTGGAATCCAAATCGAAAAGCGCTCCGAGGTGCATTTCGGGTTTTAGACTCTATTACCGTTCGTTTTCGAAATTTTCACAGACGAATAGACGACACCACATCGAGTGAAACGATAAAAATAATTTAGAGTAAAAGAACATAATTCGTGACAATTAAAAATAGCTCTGATTAAAAATACGTTGAATTTCAACATACCATACTATAGAAGATCAGTAGGAATATCTCGAAATAGAAATTTATTTTTCCGACGAGATAAAAGTAAAAGAAGAAACAATTAATAGAATGGAAAATTAACGTATTTTATATATTATAAATGCTATTAAATGTTTGATTTAAGTTATCCTTAGAAATATTTTCGAAGCTCAATTTTATTTACACGGATAGAAATTTCTTTTTTCTAACACTGGAAAGCTATTAGATATTTTGTACTTGCGATACACTAAAAACGTTCGAGCTTTTTACTAATTGTAAGGAACATGATCATATACCATTGTATTAACATAATTCTCAATTAACCCATTCTTTCATTTATTTTCACCCCTATGTTTTTACGATCCAGGTAACTTTCGCCACGGACAGGTCGCCCAGCGGTAGCGAAGATCTTAGCGGCAGGTCTTCTACCAAACTTGGGTAATTATCCGAAAAGTTCGGCGAGTCACGTTCACGCACTTAAATCACGTATGCTTCTAATCTACGTTATAACGGCACCTAATGTACTCCCTTGACAACAGGAGGGGGAAAAGTACACCGCGAATAATTCGAGCGATTCGTCAACGGAGCGGGAAATGTAAGTTGCGCGAAACTGTAGTAATTTGCAAGTTCGAGTTTTGGGGGCGACTGCGGAACAATCGCTCGATGAAACATAAAAATTGACAGAAACGAGATGGAAACACATATAAATTGCAATTGAACATCGGTCGGAAATTTCCGTATAAATGAATATGTATAATGTGCAATAAATTTCATTTGACAAATCTCGGAGATTAATAAGTTCAAGATAAAATATCAATACACTACCAAATATATGTAAATGACGGAATCCATTTAGCAAAGAAACTACTCGCGAAATATTCGAACATTTAATAAGAACATCTTTGTTCTTCATTATCCGCATTCTATGAACATAAGTTTGAAACAAATCTCATATATATAAATATTAAATGTAGTAAGTGTTCAAATATTTTCACGAATCTGTCGAAATTTTCAAATTTCCAATCTCGAATCTTCTTGATTCAACATCCACACTTTCAATCCAAGTACGATTCAGCTTCGAAGTTGAAATTTCACAAGGCGACGTAAAGATCGCCAAGCACTTGAAGGAAAAGGCACCTAGAAAAAAATTGGATTTCTCGATTTTTATAGCGGTTCGGTGATTCTGGTCATCCCCAAGGCCCGAAAACGCGGTCACGCTCGCTCGACCCGCTGCCCTCTTGATCCCATGTATTTGTTCCTATTCGCGTTGTTCCTCTTCGCCTGCGTGTTCTTCGGCAAGGAACGCGGCAACTCACCGCCGAGGAGAAAGGGGCCAGCGGTTGGAGCGGCGGAACTCGCGCGGACATCGTCCTTGCGAAGAGCGCCGCTTTAATCCCCCCGGGGGCGGTTCGTAGTGGCAGAGCCGGACGAGGATCGATCGGAATCGCTGCGACCGGGAAACAGCAAAAGCAGCGTTGTCGTTTTGTATCAGGAGAAATCAGTCGCACCGGCCGCCTCAACTACCGAGCCACCCTTCACAGCCGCTCAGTCGGAACAAGCGGTTACGCGCCAACGGAGTCCTCGGTCCTCGCGTCATCAGAGGTAATTATGAGCATAATCGTTGCGATATTTCGATAGTGGGACGTTGGGATGATTTTGGATGCTCGATTCGAGTTCGTAGCTCTTTCGCAGAGTTTTACGAAGAAAAAAAATAGCAAGTTGAAGGTTATGTTTATCACGGTGAAATTTTATAAATTCACAACTATAATTTGTTGTCAAATACGACATGTATTACGAAAGAGAGCAAAATATTCAAGCAGAATTAATATTGAGTCTACTTGAGAACATTGTAAGTTTATTGTAAGAGTTTACTTGAGAATGAGTTTCACCGGTACACGTTAATTTAATTGGAGGTCAAAATTGGATCTTCGAAACACTGAAATGTGTTGTTGCTGCTGTTGCGCTCAGATGTGATTAAACAAATGCAGTTCCCAATTCGAAATAATTTCCCCGAGGAAATAAAATTCTTTCGGAATTATCTGGAAATCTTCTTAAGAATTTACGAACCTCTCTCTCTTCCTCCAGTCGGGGCTAATTAAGTTCCAGCGAATTTCGAGACGTCCGCACGAGCTTAGATCGAAAGCGGATCAAAGTTTCTCTCAGTACTATCAAAAACAGAACGATCCAAATTTTATCAAGAAATCCAAAACAAATTTCTCTCTTTTCCCCCCTTTTTCGAATAGGTCGGATCTGCTCGATACTCCGCAACACCGACTCCCTGTATATCCGATCGACCGAAGAAAAGCTACTTTCAGAAAACGTCGACGCTTATCAAAGCGGCAAACACCGGTGCACGTTTATCAGGAACAGGCTCGTTCGTTGTCAGAGGATCGTCGTGTCGGCTCTAAAGAGGTGCAACTACCGGAACGGAGATCCGATCTGGCTAGATACACCGCCGAGTCCGCGAAGAATTTGATTAGATCAGGAGGTGACTCCTCCACTCGACAGGACGACGACTCGGATGACCCTGATCGAGATAGAAGATCGAACAACCAGTGGAGACACGACAGAATCTTCGAGGAACGATGCCGTCCCTCTGATAATTCTGTTTCGAAACTAATGGCTCGTTCCAGGTAACGAAATTACATTGTGCTTTGCGACGAGATTCAATTTAAGATTTTACGCGCGAGTTAAAGAAAAAGATAAGGCATGAATTTGATTTTAAATCGATGTTTAATATCAGATAAATAAGGTCCGATGTTGTTTGCTGGTATGGTTATAAAATTTCAGATAAATATAGTTTGACACATTAATATATGATAGTTTTATGTTTTACAGAATTATATACTTTCTGATAGAAGGTAAACGATTCGAACATTTGAGAGCTATCTAGAACACGATTAGAATTTTATACCGACGTTGTAAC